TTATCCTGGTTCCTGTAGTTATGTCTGGATATATACTCACTTATTAGGATTTGGTTCTAGGATTCACATATGAAGGAGAACACACATCGATTTTTTTTCTGTGTTACTTCACTTAGTAAAATAGTTTCTAGTTCCATCCATTTACCTGCAAATTTCAAGATTTCATCTTTCTTTACTGCTGAGTAAAACTCCATCTTATAAATGAACCACATTTTCATCCACTATATGAACCACATTTTCATTATCCATTCATCAATTGAGGGACACCTAGGTTGCTTCCATCTCTTAGCTATTGGGAAAAGAGCAGCAACAAACATGGATGTACATGTGTTTCTGCAATGAGACGAGTTCTTTGGGTATATGCCAAGGAGTGGTATAAATGGGTCAAATGGTAGGTTCATTTGTAGTTTTTTTTTTAAGAGTTTTCCGCACTGCTTTCCATAGGGATTGAACCAGTTTGCAGCCCCACCAGCAGTGGATGAGTGTTCCCCTTTCCCCACATCCTCTCCAACATTTGGTATCATTTGTTCTCTTGATCTTAGCCAGTCTGACTGGGGTAAGATGAAATCTTAAAGTGGTTTTAATTTGCATTTCCCTAATTATTAGTGATGTTGAGCATCTTTTAAGATCTTTCATAGCCATCTTTACTTCTTCTTTTGAGAACCCTCTGTTCAGCTCCTTAGCCAGTCTTTTAATTGGGTTACTTCCTGTCTTGATTCTCTCTTTTTTTTTTTGAGTTTGTTTTATATTCTGGATGTTAAACCTGTATCAGATGTTTCGCTGGTGAAGATTTTCTCCCATTCTGTGGGTTTTCTCTTCACTTCCTTGGTTGCCTCCTTTGATGTACCGAAGTCTCTTCACTTCCCTGGTTGCCTCCTTTGATGTACAGAAGCTTTGTAGTTTAACAAGGCCCCATTTGTTGATTCTTAACCTTGTTTCCTGAGCAATTGATGTCTGGTTTAGAAAATCCTTTCCTACATCTATGTCTTGTAGGTTTTTGCCAATATTTTCTTCTAAGAGTATCAGAGTTTCAGGATTTACATTGAGGTCTTTGAGCCATTTGGAATTGACTTTTGTGCAAGGTGAAAAATAGGCGTTTAATTTCACTATTCTATAAGTGGAGATCCAGTTTTGTCAGCACCATTTGCTGGACATGCTGTCTTTCCTCCAGTGAATGTTCTTGGGCCCTTTGTCAAATATCAGGTGGCTGAAATTGCATTACTCATATTTGGGTCTTCAATTTTGTTCCATTGATCGATGGGTCTATTTTTGTGCCAGTATCATGTTGGTTTTATGACTATAGCTCTGTAATACAGCTTAAAATCTGATAAAGTAATCCCCCCGGCATTGCTCTTAATGCTCAGGGTTGCTTTGGCTATCTGAGGTCTTTTGTGCTTCCATATGAATCTTAGGGTAGTTTTTTTCCAATTTTGTGAAAAATGTCATGGGGATTTTGATTGGCATTGCATTGAATCTATATATGACTTTTGGTAGGATGGTCATTTTCACAATATTAATTCTTCCAATCCATGAGCATGGGAGGTCTTTCCATCTTCTGATGTCTTCCTCAATCTCTTTCTTTAAAGATTTAAAGTTTTCATGGTAGAGGTCCCTAATATCTTTGGTCAGGTTTATTCCGAGATATTTTATTTTTTTTTTTGCAGCTATTGTGAAGGGGAGTGTTTCCATGTGCTCTTTCTCTGATTGCTTGTTATTGGTATATTGAAAGGCTACAGACTTTTGTAGGTAAATTTTGTAACCTGCCACTTTACTGAATGTGTAAATAATTTCTAGGAGTTTATGGTGGAATTTTCGGTGTCTCTTAGATATAATATCATATTTTCTGCAAAATGGCTACTTTGATCTCTTCTTTTCCAATTGTTACTCCTTTAGTTTCCTGCTCTTGTCTTATTGCTCTTGCAAGAGTTTCAAGCACGATATTAAGGAGAAGTTGAGATACTGGACAGGCTTGTCTGGTTCCTGATTTCAATGGGAATTCTTCCAGTTTTTTTCCATTTACAATGATGTTAGCTGTGGGTTTGTTATATATGGCTTTAATTATGTTGAGGTATGTTCCCTCCAGTCCAATTCCCTCTAGGACTTTGAACATAAATGCATGTTGAATTTTGTCAAAGGCCTTTTCTGCTTCTATTGAGATGACCATGTAGTTCTTCTCGTTGAGCCCATTTATGTGATTTATGACATTTATTGACTTACTAGAAGGAATTTGGAAGTTTTCCCTCCATTTCTATTTTTTTGAATAAGTTAAGTAGTATTGGATGCAGATCTTCTTTAAATGTCTGATAGAATTCTGCTGTAAACACATCTGGTCCTGGGCTTTTTTTAGTTGGGAGGTTTTGTATTATATTACTGTTTCAATTTCTTTTTGTGGGTCTGTTTAAGCTGTTAATCTCTTTTTGGTTTAGTTTTGGTGGTTTGCATGCTTTAGATATGCATCTATTTCTTTTAGGTTTTCAAATTTAGTAGCATATAGGTTTTTAAAGTATTCCCTTATACTGTTCTGGATCTTTTTGGTGCCTGTTGTGATGTTTCCCCTTTCATCTCTGATTTTGTTGATTTGGAGGTGCTCTTTCTTTCTTTTGGTTAGTTCCCATGCCTTTAGATATGCATCCATTTCTTTTAGGTTTTCAAATTTAGTAGCATATAGGTTTTTAATCCCTTATAATGTTCTGTATCGTTCTGGTGTCTGTTGTGATGTTTCCCCTTTAATCTCTGATTTTGTTGATTTGGAGGCATTCTTTCTTTCTTTTGGTTAACTGGGCTAGTGGTCTGTCAATCTTCTTTATCTTTTCAAAGAACCAGTTCTTGGATTCATTGATTTCTTTGTATTGTTTTGATTTCATTAATTTCTTCCCTGACTTTTGTTATTTCTTCTTGTCTGCTGGGTTTAGGTTTCATTTGTTGTTGCTTTTCAAGTGTGTTGAGTTGCAATGTTAAGTCGTTTATTTGTGTTCTTTCCGATTTTTTGATGTAGGCACTTAGAGCTATAAACTTCCCTCTAAGGACTGCTTTCAGCATGTCCCAAAGGTTTTGTTGTGTTGTATTGTCCTTTTCATTTAATTCCAGGAGTACTTTTATTTCTTTCTTAATTTCTCTTTTGACCCATTCATCATTCAGGAGTGTGTTGTTTAATCTCCATGTGTTCATATGGTGACTGGGGCTTCTTCTGGTGTTGATTTTAAGCTTTATTGCATTGTGGTCTGATAGAATGCATGGAAATATTTCAATCTCTTTTTATTTGTTGAGGCTTGTTTTGTGCCCCAGTATATGGTTGATTTAGGAGAAGTTTCCATGGGGTGCTGAGTAGAAAGCATGTCCTTCAGTGCTTGGTTGGAATACTCGAAAGACGTCTGTTAGGTCCATTTGATATATGGTATATATTAGCCAGTACCTTTCAATTTCCTTCTGAAGAACCAATAATTTTCATGCAGAAAATTTGAGATACCCTGTGGTATGTGTATCTGGGCATCCTAAATGAGATCTGCAGGTAAGGCTCCTGGTCTTCGTTCTCCCTATACGCGGTTCTTTATTGACTTTCATTTTTATCACCTTTTCTTTCATTTCCATTTTAATGTTCAATTGTCATACTAAATATAATAGGGTTTTCTGCCACCCTTGCTTCTCGCTTCTCAAGCACCCAGCACCAAATCTGGTAGAGTCTACCAGTGGAAATGGATATGTTCACCAGCTAAGGCTCCAGCTTCAGACATGGTCCTAATGAGCCAATCACAGGCTTTCTTTAAAGGTTTTTCATTAAAAATGTAGCTCTCTCTGCAGGCAGATAGCCCTGGCTTGGCACACGTGTGTGTGTTTGTGTGTGTGCATGTGTGTGTGCGTGTGTGTGTGTGTGTGTGTGTGTGTTACCCTGTCACCAGTTACTCTTCCCCTTCCTAGCAGCAAGTACAAAAAGCAATTTTCAATCTGTGTCCATTGATCACAGGGCATTTTCTCAGAAAGATTACTTTCTAAAAAATAGGGACATAGAATTATTTCCAGTCAATATAGTAATTTTTTTAGAAGAAAACTGGTTTTATAATGGCCACTTTATAATTTGTAGTAAACAGACCTGAGTGTGTATCTTAACTCTGTTCTTTACCATGTGAATGAGGGTAAGCCACTTAATCTTTGTCCCCCTGTCTCTCCCTTTGTAAAACAGCTGTTCCCAAAGCTGTTACACAGAGAAGTTGCATGTTGCAGAGATCACAACAGAGTCCATTAGCATCAGCACCATTTTGATCTAGGAGGTTCTATTAGTACTACTTTTAAAATTACCTAGAGTGGCTGGAGTGTTGGCTCAGTGGTTAAGAGTTTGTACTGCTCTTGCAGAGGACCCAAGTTTGATTCTCAGCACCTATACAGGGGTGGCTCACAACTGCCTCTAACTGTACTCCATGGAGAACCAATGCTTCTGGGCTTCTCAGGCACCTGTACGCATGTGCCTCTCATGTACCTCCACAAAGAAACATACAGATAATTAAAAATAAGTAAAATTTTGAAGAATTATTATCAAGAAAGCTATCTACCTGTCTGAGTTCAGATCAATCTGAGATATATATATATATAATTACATATTATATATATATGAAATTGTGCTTGTGTGTATATGTTTGCATGTGCTTACGGGAATCATGTGCAGGAGCTCTCAGAAACATCGGATCCCCTGGAGCCTGAGTTACACCACTTTAAGTCACCATATGGGTGCCGGAAATGGAATCTGGGCTCTCTGCAAGAGCAGCAAGTGTTCTTAACTGCTGAACTATTTCTCTAGTCCCAGTCTTACATATTTGTATTTGTTTCCTGGGAGCCTCTCTTTTCCTATAGAAGAACCATTTTTCTGCAAAGGTGGTATTGCTTTCATAAATGTTCTGAATCTCACTTTTTATAACTGTGTGATAAAATAAAAGTTTAGAGAAGTGTCAGCTGGTCCTTTTGACCTCCAGTTAGCCTTCTTCAGTCACATGATTATGGTTTCATTATAGAACGATGAAGTGGAGTTTGTCCAAACTGGCTATGGGAAGGATATGGTGAAAGTTCTCCATATTCAACGAGATGGAAAATACCACAGCATCAAAGAGGTGGCAACTTCAGTGCAACTGACTCTGAGATCCAAGAAAGATTACCTACATGGCGATAATTCTGACATCATCCCTACAGACACCATCAAGAACACAGTACACGCCTTGGCGAAGCTCAAAGGGGTATGCACCGTTCTTAGATGCTGGCTGCCTCCGTGCAAACTTGGTATAAGATCGCATGGGGGTGTGCTTGCTTATTTTAAGCTCTCGTTTCCTCTTAACCTATTTTTATATGTGTGTCATTTAAAAAAATTCCTCCCTACCCTAAAATTCTCAGGCTTACAGAAAATCTTACTTTGTTTTATTCTTTTAATTCATCTCCACTCAGTCTTTTAGGAAGAGATTATTATTGAGCAAATTGTCATCTCCAACTAGGACTATGGCCAAGTCAAGGTCATGAGAGAATGCATGTTTCTCATCCATTAGGAGTCTCTTGGACTCCTATTTTTTTTAAATATTGTGCATTTAGAGTAACAAGTACTATTGTTGCTACCACAGAAGAAATATTGATTATAAGACGTGTTTTTTTACGGTCAAGATCTAATGTTCAAGTTTTCATGGCCCCCGTACTGGTAACTTTTCTTGTTGCTATGACAAAATACCTGACAAAAACAACTTAAGGAAGGAAGGGTTTATTTCAGCTCATGGTTTGAGAGTAAAGTCCATCATGGTAGGGAAGTCATGTTAAGAAATGTCTACTGGAGAGCTTATAATTCTCATGTTTTCAGGAAATCCAAGCCTATAACACAGGTGAAAGTGCAATGTAACTCTTCAAGGCCTGTTTCTCCCCTGAACTTTTTTCTTATAAATTAGGATGGTTAAGAAGTCAGAGATGTAGAGAAAGAGTTTAGTCTCCTAAGTATTCTTTTGAAAGTAAGTATGTACTGTGATAAGGGAAAAGGCCAGATCTCTGGTTTGTTCTAGATTTTGTATTATGTAGGAAGTTGAAAACAAGCATGGGATCTGGATGCTAAAAGTTCTTTCATCATAGATTTAGAGGCTATATAATTTTTTATCCTAATCATGATACTTTTGAAATAAAGTGCTGTTGATAACTATTCTGGGAACGATAGGCGTAAAATAGAAATATTCTAGGAAGTTTGCACAAAAGTCCACCTTGATTATAGGTAAAGCTTATAGTTATTTACCCACTGTGCTAGGACCACAAAATGTCACCTAGGGATTGATATAGGAAATTTTCTTTTTAAAAAGAATTACTTGATTTTTAATTATGTGTATGTGGCGAGGGGGGTGCATATGAGTGTGGGTGCCCCTGAGGCCAGGAGCATCAGATCTCCTGGAGGGAGAGTTACATGTGGTTGTGAGTCTCTCGGCATCAATGCCAGGAACCGAACTTGGGTCTTCTCTCTGTAAGAGTAGTGCATGCTGTTGTCCACTGAGCCACTCTCCAGCCCCAACATGGAGAACTGGTGTGGAAGTGGGGGAAGTGTTCCATGGAGATGGAAAGCTGGCAATGATCAAGGGAAGGCTGGTATAGGAGGAAAGAAAGGTCGGGCGGCCCTTCATTCACAAGTTTCTTTGAGAAACTTGGAAGCTATGTGCGAACCTCATGGAGAGACCCAAGTGTTACTGGGTGCACTGTGCCTGAACAGGTGACTACCCTGCTCACTGAGAAGAATTTACATGTCAAGTTACTTTTTACAGTCTTTCAATCCTTCTGATCGTAAGAGTCAGAGAATCAGGATGTCTGCTGCTAGTGTCTTCCAAACATGACAGGGTGCTACACCCACGAAGTGTCAGCAATATGGTAGCCCCACAGAATGAAAACACCTTTGACTTGCCAATGTGGATGGGGGGAATATGTATCATTTATAGGTCTCCTCCTATAGATGAAGAACTACAGGCAATCAATGGCTGCCAAGGGAGAATGAGTTTTCTCAGGGACAAGTTGCCTGATAGGTTATCCAGCCCCAAGTGGTCAGCTCTAAACACATACATATGAACATCACTAATAGGACTCAACAGGTTTTGTGTGTGTGTGTGTGTGTGTGTGTGTGTGTGTGTGTGTAACGATAATAAAGATATTGAGAGGGAGTTGGAGGGTGTGAGAAGAGTTGGAGGGGTTGAAATGATATAAATACAGTACTCATGTATGAAATTCCCCCCAAAGTAAAACATTTAAATTGTTTTTAACAAGTCCCTTTTTGCTCATCCACCAGCACATCCTTTACTGTAAAGCAGGTTTCTTTAAAAAACAGGGTGGAGTCTCCTTGGGTGATGACAACCTACAAACCACACCTGGAAGTGCTAGAGGAAAAGTGGGATAAGGATTAATTACCTAATTAATCTCCTGAGAGTCTAATTCTGTGCTCTTCTCCTTGGAAAGAGAAACTGATCAAGAAAGAACACCCCGTGAGTTTTAGCAGTTACTTTTAGGTGGGTTTGATAGTGGATGCCTGTAATCCAGCTCTTGGAAAGCTCAGACAGGAGGATTGTTATGAGCCTGGGGCTGGCCTGGGCCTCATAGCAAGACCTATGCCAAAACAAAACATAATTGCTTTAAAGCAGATGTAGTGATTCATAATCCCAGCATTTGGGAGATGGGTCATGAATTCTAGGCCAGCCTGAGCTACACTGAACTCCTACCTCAAAACAAACAAAACAACCAAAAGTCTTTTCTGACCACCAGCTTTGTGTTTCTTTTTTACAGATAAAAAGCATAGAGGCCTTTGCTATGCATATCTGCAAGCACTTTCTTTCTTCCTTTAACCATGTCACCCGAGCTCACGTTTATGTGGAAGAGGTTCCTTGGAAGCGCTTTGAGAAGGTTACATCATTTATGCTCTCAGTTTAATGAAAGAAATTGGTACTGCTCTATACGCTGACTTTTTACTAGGAACCGTTCTCTCCTTTTCAGAATGGAACCAAGCATGTGCATGCGTTTATTCACACCCCCACTGGAACCCACTTCTGTGAGGTGGAGCAGATGAGGAATGGTAAGAAACCATTTTTCATGTTTTGATTCTGCAAAAGAGATTGCAGGGTTTGTTTATTTTTGTCCTAAACAACTCTGTTTATTGACATGCAAGAAAACTATAGAGAAATTTTAAGGCTTTTAGATTTGAGATGGGACTACCCATTGTGACTTTGGATTTTATTTCAAAGAGTGATTAATTTTTGTAACAAAAGCCAGAGCTTGACTGTTGTGTAAACTTTATGTTTACCATTTTGAGGTGAGGCAGGAAAAAATAAAGGCCTGAGCTGAAAAGAATACAAATTTCTGAACTTTCTGGGGCTGGAGAGATGGCTTAGCAGTTAAGAGCACTGGCTGCTCTTGCAGAGGACCGGGGTTTGAGTCCCAGCATCCCTCCTCTGACCTCTGGGGGCAGCACATGACACATGTGCACTTAGACACATGCAGGCAATATGCTCATACACATAAAATAAATAAAAAATTTCTGAACTTTCTGACCAATATTTTTTGTACCACATCATGCTATAATTATAACTTTTACATGAAATATTTATTAAAATTTATTGATATTGTATAATAAAACACTAATAGTATTGTAATTTCTTTAAAGTGAATTTCATTTAAAATGGCATGACTATAATTCTATTTGCCAAGACATTAAAAAATTAAAATTAACTATGTAACATTATTATAATCCAGACCTTATTAGTGCTGATAATTATTTTGAGAAAATATTAAAATTCCCAAAGCTGATAGTTCATTGATTTGTTGAGGGTGTCAGAAGCAGAATTAAATAATTCATTAGGATTTAGACCATAAAACTTCTAAGAACCATAGAGCCAAAGATGACAGAAATATTTTTCAGTAAAGAAAAGCTTTAATAATTATTATAAATCCAGTGTTCACGGTGAAAGCTTTTCTCTTTCTATTTTCCTTTCCCCCACTTTCTTACCGTTTCTTTTTGCTTTATCTTTTTCACTATCTTTCTTCTCTAGCCCAATTCAATAAGAATTTCAGGTGGCATCTAATAGACACAGGGAATACTATAGGTTAATTAATAATATACTTAACAATCCAAAATTATTTCTTTATGTGAGAAATGTAAAGTGCTAATAAAATCTTTTTATATTATTTACCAAATTAAGCTTCTAAAATCCTGTGTGAATTCTGTATTTGTAATACATCTTGAGTCATGCTAGGTATAATTTCATGTGCTGATCAGCAGCAGGTGGCTAGTGGCCACTGCCTTGATCAGCATAGCTTCTACCTGGTCTTCAGAGATGGTTGGAAATTTAGCTCACTCCTCATGCCTCTTTCAAATACTAGCAAGGACCAGAATTAAACTTCAGGAGAGCTGATTAAAAATAACTGCATTTATGGGAAGTGCTTTTGTCATTCATATACTGTTCATTTGACAATTAAAATTTGGAGACTTATTAATAAATGAAAGACTGTAGATGAAGAGATGAACAGGACATTCCCTGATCTCAGTGAATTTGTAGTAGATTTCATCCCTGGAGACAGACTGATAAACAGATTCATTGCAGTATGAAGGGCTAAAAATCCCAGTGACAGGACTAAAGGAACACTAAGAACAGGGAAGCTTAAAAAAAGCCCAACTCTTTCCTGTAGTCTAGAAGGCTTTGTCGTGTGAGAGGAAATGTTCCCACTGACTGTTGGAAAAGATTGGAATCATGCTGGTCATGAAAGAGGCAGGACTCAGAAAGGAGCAGAAGAGGTGAGCTAGGGCGTTTGAGCACCTGCCTCACGCTGAGCCCACACTCGGCAAGTATTATTTAATTGTTGAACGGGTAAACCATTTGTGGAATAGGACTCAGTTCAGGGAGCCTGATTCCTCCAAGGACTCTGAGGGCCTCATGTGCTGAACAAGTATAGTCTAACTCAAAGGCAGTTTTACATAAACCACTGATAGCATGATTCATTCCTTTAAAATGCATCTCTGGCTAAGGCCAGAAGCATTTGGGATCAGAATAAACTGTATTTCTGCATTTCAATTTGAACTCTACTAATTAATAGCATTATTTGGAGCAAGTGAGTTATAGTTCTTCAGTGGGTTTTCATTTGTAATATGAGGATGCTAAGGCCCACCTCTGCATCGTCCAGAGAAATTAAGGAAATCAGTACTTATTTTATTGGCACACTTAGTGTAGTACCCGTGTAAGAAGAACTTCTTGAATAATAGCTGTAATTATTGTTTAGTTTGTCAGCAGAAAAGCAGAGAAGGCTGTTAACGGCCAAGTGAGGGAAGGAGTGTTTGTGTGTGTGTGTGTGTGTGTGTGTGTGTGTGCATGCGTGTATGTGTGTGCATGTGCAGATGTGTCTGAGAGAGAGAGAGAGAGAGAGAGAGAGAGAGAGAGAGAGAGAGAGAGACTAAATCTATAATGTGCCTGCTAGGCTCATGTTTTGAATGTTTGTTCCCCAGCTAATGTGCTATTTTGGGAGATTCTGGAGTCTTTAGGAGGTGGGACCTAGCAGAAGTGGGTGACTAGGGGTTAGCCTTGGAAGGTGATGGCTTAGCCCTTGATCTTGGCCTCATCCTCTGCTTCCTGATCTGTTTCCATGCTGTAGCCTCTGCCACATGCTCCCTCCACCATGCCCTCTCTGCTCTGCTATGCTATCTCTGCCATCATGGCCTGAAACCCTGTGAAAGAGTGAGCCCAAATACCTGTTTCCTCCCTCAAGTTGTGTTTATGCTGACAAAGGTGTGGGGAACAGGCGAGAGAAGCAGAGAGCAGTGAGATTTTTGAGAATTTGTCCTAGAGATGAAGTCATGAGTCCAAATAGACAGGAGAAGTAGAGATGGACAGATGGGGAGGTCATTGGCAATCACTAGGTGAGGTCTTTGTGAAGGGTAACCAGTGCCAGTAGTTGAGTAGAGATGAGGGTTGGAAGGAAGAAGTTACAAGGACTTACAGCAGACTGGGAAATTCACTAAAGAGAATATACACATGAAGAAAGTTTGGAAAATAAAAATGGTGAGCTATGGAATATGGGATGGATCCATATTTGGGGAATCATCACGAGACTGATGATAAATAAAGCCATAGGGAAGGAAATAGTTCCAGAAAAAAAACCATATAAAGTATATTAGTCAGAGTTCTACAAAGGAAGTGAACTGAGAGGGTAAATATATATCAAAAGGGGATTTATTAGGTTGGCTTACGTGAAATAATTCAGGCAGTCCAACAATGGCTGTCTCACATTAGTAGCTGCTCAGTTCATGAGGCTGGATGTCTCCACAGTCCCAACCTGGTGCTAAAGGCCTGGAGGATTCTTGGAGAACTACTGGTCTTCAGTCTTTGTTGGAAGCTCAAAGAGGCTGGTTCTAATATCAGTGAAAGAATCTAGCAAGAACAGGAAAGATGAACTTGCCAGCAACAGTGAAGGCCAGCAGGCAAACCCCCAAAGCTTCCTTCTTCCGTGTCCTTTTATCTGGACTGCCATCAAAGGTACCAACCGCATTTAGGATGGGTCTTCTTGCCTCAAATAATCTGATCAAGAAAGTCTCTCTCAGGAGTGCCTAGTGGCTTGTGTTTCAGTTGATTCTAGAGGCACTCAAGTTGGCAACCACGATGAGACCTGGCAGAAAGGAGAAGAAAGATGAAAGGCCCAGGGAAGATTACTTTGTCTAAGAGTTGGACAAAACACTCGTCAGAGAGGCACAGAAGGAAGAGGGCTGGAGACGGTGCTCTTACGGGAATCGAAGAAGAGTGTCTTTTAAGATCTCAGGGATACTGAGGCACCAGAAGGCCCAGCAAGAAGACCCAAATGTAACAGCTCAGCACAAGGACTCCTTCTGAAGAGTCCAGTTCCTTTGTTAGTGTGGGGATAAGGGCATTTCACCTGTCCCAAGTTGTTCAGAGACCTAGGCAACCTTACCTTTTTAAAATCCTTACTTTTTGGGTTTACCTTGGGAGTAAATTTTCATGTCTGACAACTAGGGTAAGTAAAGATGTTGACAGAGAAAAGGGAAGGTAAAACTTGGACAGAAGCACTAGGTCTGAAAGGGCTCATAGCACGTCCTCTGGAGAGAAATATCACAGCCATGCCTGACTGTGAGAGGCTATAAGGTGCTGTTTCACTGAGTACCCAGGAGGAAGAAGAAATAGATTTGGAATCTGTGATGGGAGGGTTAAGAAGACAACTGAGGAGGAATTCTGTATTTGGCAGCAAACGTCATTGGTGATTTTCACAAAAATACTTTCAGCAGGACGGTGGAGGTGGAAGTGAAGTGGCTAAGTTCAAAGAGGCTGATGATTGTAAATCAGACTTCTCTTTACAGCCAACTTCCTTCCAGGAATTACCAGGAGTTTGTATCTGCCTGAGTTCTAATCACACGATTGCTGAAGAGTAGAAAGAGTAGCCATCAGAATCGGGCAAAGCTTTTTTCTCTGCAGATGGCTACAGTTTCTGGGTACTGATACCACTGTGCTGCTGTTCTGTGAACTTCCAGTTGACTCATGGAGCCCACAATATCTCATATCCTGCAGGGCTGGCAGAGATCAGGGTAGCAGGGGAGGTGTGCAGTACCTGAATGCAGGTATGCACGAGCACTGGATGCAAAGGTGTGTACACATCTGCATGTGAAGATGGTACTTATACTCCATCATCTTTACAAAGTAGAGGTATACGGCATATGCTCTTTTACACCAAGTTTAGTTTTTTATGATTTATTTTATCTTTAAATTTTATGTGTACAAGTCTTTTGCCTACATACATGTATATGTACCACATGTGTGCCTGGTATGCAAAGAGGCCAGAAGAGGGCACTGGATCCCCTGGAACTAGAATTACAGGCAGTTGTGAACAGCCATATGGGTTCTGAACCTGGATCCTCTTCAAAAGCAGCCAGTGCTCTTAATTACTGAACCTTCTCTCCAGCCTCACATAGTTTAATTCTTGTTATCTAAGCTCTAAATCTAAAGGACTTTTGACTTGAATCAACGTTATGATCATTGTCATAAGAAATGCTCTTCTGGGGCTGGAAAGATGGCTCATGGG